ACACACACACACACACACACACACACACACACACACACACACACACAAACTCCCCCTCCAGTTCTCATTTGTTACATGGAAGGAAAAGCCACCGTTTTCCTGCCTTGAATGGAAGGGTATGAAAGGACCTGTGCTACCCAGAGCCCTCCCAGCACTCCATCCAAAAGCCCAAGGGTGGTTTGGACCGGGATTGAGGAGAAACCAGAGACATCTTTCAAAACAGGACTTGTACAGGAGAGGACCTTAAGACCCAACTCTTGAAATGTGCCAGGACACCTACAGAGCCCCTCTAACTTGCTTATCCCTTACCTCTGCTGGACCCAGAGTTGCTGTTGGAGGTTCAAGAAAGGGGATTTTTGTGAGGCTAGGGGGCACACTAAAGAACCACACCCTTGCCCTAAGCAGTCCAGCCCAGCCTAGCCACACCCTCCCTCCCTGCCTGCCTGCCTCTGATTAGGACGTAGGGGTTGGGGCCCCTGGCTATGTGCTGGCAGACAGCCTCAGCACCCAGGATCTGTAGCTTCATGTGTCTCCTCAAAGCTCAGGCCTCCTGAGACCCAAGCTAGCAGAGCCAGGGACTAGGTAGCCCTTGGAGGTTGTAGGGGATGAAGGGCTATAGGAATACCAAACAGGGAAGTAGAAATGGTCCAATTAGAGCCTCATCAGGAGGTGGTGATTCATGGCTTCTGGGGAGACAGGAGCACTTGCCAGGAGGAAATCACAAAGACAGCTAAGACCAAGTAGCAGGAAGAAGGCAGAGCAGCCGCAAGGAGTGTTCCACGATAGTTCAAGGGATTCAGACCTGACCAGTCATGGCAGAAGGCTATTTTCCTCAGTCTACCCTTAGGCCATCTCCCCAAGATACTGGTACACCTTGATGTAGTTATCCCCTGCATCTGCCACCACCAGTTGGCCCTGGGGTGCACAGGCCATACCCAAGGGCCTCTCTAGTCCTTCCAACTGCAAGCAGATAGGTGGCCCAACCCGGGGAAACAGAGTCACTTGATGTCTCTGCTCATCAGCCACAATAATGCTACCTTCTGTGTCAGAGCACACACCTGTTGGACGGCCAAATCTATGCCCAGTCAGGGTTCCTAGGGAACCCAGAGGCTGATAGGCACTGCCAAACAGCTGCACATCTCCAAACTCTTCACTCACAGCAAGGCCCCCATCAGGCCCTGGACCTACCCAACAGGGGCCCTCCAGACCTAGCATGGAGGCTGGAGCAAGGGGTTCCCAGGTTGGTCCCAACAGGAAGCTGTGTACAGTTCCAGGCAAGTAGTCTGTCACCAGGAAGTGGCCAAGAGCATCCACAGCCAGCCCTCGGGGTGACAAGAACGTGCCTACAGTCACCCAGCGCCCCCGAGGTTCCCGGGAAGTGTACTGGAGAGCATAAACAGCCCCGTGGATGAGGTCACTGACTACCACAAGCCCTGAAGCTGTCACAGCCACATCCTCTGGAACAAAGGCTCCAGTTCCAGGCACGTGGCAGGGTAGTTGACAAATGGAACGTCCCTCAAGATCCAGCACATGGACACAGGATGCAGCACCAGCCGTCAAGAAGAGGAGGCCATCTGGTGAGCAGTGCAGGCCTCGGGGGCTCCCCGCAGCCCCTGATGGCACCAGGATTTGCCCCAGCAGCCGGGGCTGCCGGGAGCAACTGGCATCTTTAAGTTGGTCCAGCCTGAGATCAGGCCCTTGAGGGTAGGTGGCTGGAAGTAGGGGTGGCCCAGGAGGTCAAGGACAGATGGGAGGCCAAGGACGGCAAGCAGTCACAATCTCAGGTTCTCAGCAGCTGAAAAAGAGGTGGAATACCCATGTGTGCAGATGGGCTCATGGGGGCTAGCACCCTCCCGTTGTACAGGGAAGAGTTAAGGTGAGGGTGGAAGGTGGGCATAGCGCTGAGCTATTTTTGTGCTCAGTTCCTCCTAGTTCCGAGCGCTCACCTTGTCCCCAAGCCCAACAACCACACATGTGTTAAAGGTGTCTGCAACAGTGGTCTGGGAGACACTACCCACTCAACAAGGTCAAAGGTTTTGCTCTGAGGCTCAAATCACATGCATAGCTGTGTCCTAACACAGGAGTGGGGATGGGGGCAGATAAGCAGCATTTCTTAAACTTACCAGCCCTTCATAGGAATGGCCTATGCTCTGGTTAGTTCTCCCCACTACACACACAACTCCTCTGCTTTAGCCAGGGAGACCTTCAAACTCCAGCTTCCCAGGGCTCTCTGCTTGTCCCTTGCCCCTTCCATAGAGATCAGGATACCTCTTACCTGGGACTGGCTGGCTGGCCTCAGGGCTTTAGCTCAGGTCTCTGTTGTTGGAGACAGCTGGGTGTGTATGAGTTGGGGGGAAGGACAGCTAAGGGAGGAGTCACCAGACAAGTTTCCCGCGGGGACAAGTTGAGCAGGGGGAGGGGAAGGCTGTTTGGGCCTGGCCTCCAGTCCTGCACCCTCTAGCTTGGGTCTTCACATGGGCCTCATCCTTACCCTCAACACTTTCTACTGCATAGCTCTGTAGGGTAAGCCTGCCCTCTCCAGGAGGCACCCACAGTCCTCTAGGACAAGAGGCCACCCCTCCAGGCAGGACATTTGTGTCAGGACCAAACTCTGGTCACCCTCTTGCCACCTCCACCAAGAAGTTCAAAGTTGGTTCTTTTGTCTTCCTGTGAGTCTGGTGATGCTGCCTCCCAGGACCAGAAATCAGGGTGCAGTAGGCACATGGGGGTCCTGAGAGGAAGGTGCCTCAGATGTAAGCCTTGAAGTTCCCTGGATACCTGGCTCTGCCCCCAGCAGGTCCCCAGGAATCCTCCAGGTCAATGGTGTCCAGCTAGCTTTTTTCAGCCTTGGCCTGCAGCCCCACAGCACCATGGGCTGACCAGCCAGAACTCTGGTCCCGACGCCACCTGTAATGCCTCACAGCGGGGTGGCTTCCTGATGCTATCACCAGGTAGGTGGTTAATGGAGCAGCTGAAGGTCCTGTTTGGACTGGCCCCAGCCTGGCCAGTCCAGCCCCAGTGAGAACAGTGCCTCCTCTGAGGGCAGCTTGTACTTCAGGGCATTCCTAGGTGGGGATGAAGGCCATGGCCCACGTCCCCAGGGAGAAAACTGATTTGCTATTGCTGGGGGGCCCCAGCAGCCCTCCCTGGCTGTCTCCCACCCTGGCCTATGGAAGGCCAAGCAGGGCTGTACTGGGAGGGAAGCAGTGAGCTGTGAAGGCCACCGATGCCTATCATGGCTGCAGGGGCTGGCGGGGGGCCCAGGAAGGCCACACGGGGTGAGCAGCCTGGAGCCATAGAAGGCAGGAGGCTTTGGCCACCACAGGCAAAGCTGGCATTAGGCTGCTTGGATGGATTCAGGCCCAAGGACATGCAGGGTCCTTGGCCATCCCCAGTGAGCTGAAACAGGCCAGGTTATCCTGACATGTCTGCCTCTCTGCCGCTCTTCCCTGAGTCCCCTAATTGCGTGTACCCAGCCTACCACTTTGGAAGAACCAAGTCCACAATAAGGACTTTGAGTTCAAAGGTGAACTCGAGTCTGGTGTCCAGGACATTTGCTCCCTGGGATGCTCAGGCCAGGTACATTTGCTTGAGGGTCCCCAGGTGCTTGTGCAGGGACAGAAAAGGAAAGAGACCCAAGTAGGGTGTTTGAACGCAGTTTCTATTTTAATGTCCACAACTCTGTTCAATAAATAAATCGTGACCTTGCTATGTCCGTGTGACCCCAGAGACTACCATGGGCTGGTGGGGGAGTTGGGGAGTGGGCATCTGTCCAGAACACATGCACACTGACACTGGACAGGCCCAGACAATGGGGCCCAGGTCAGGGAGAGGAGCCCACACACTAAGGTGGCTGCGGACAGACCTCAGCACCAGGGAGGATCTGCAAGTTCGGGTTATCTTTAGAGGTCTGAGAGCTGCCAGCTCCAAGATGATTGCCCCAGCCACTACCAGGAATTCCATGTTCCTCAGGGGCCTGGAGGGGGAGGACAGGAGGTGGGACACTGGAGTCAGCCTCACACTTGGTGGTACGGTTTGAGAAAGGCTCAAGCACAGGGCCTAATACACTGGAGGGCTTGGAGGTCCCCCTTGCCAGCATGGGGCCTGGATCAAGCAGCCCCCAGGACTCTTCAGGTGCCTCAGTTCCCTTGGTAGGCACCCGCTTCACTGAGAGGTCCAAGGGTGTGTCCGGTGGCCGAGCTGCCCGGGCCAACGCCTGATGGATGGTGAACAGTTCGCGGCGAATCTTGCCAAGCTGCTCTCGTAGAGGTCTGGGGGCTAGACCCCCAGCCGGTCCCAGCTGCCCCAAGCGCTGCTCCACCCTGGCATAGTCACCAAAGGCCTCGGTCAGGTCCTCTCCCACTGGGACTGGACTTGCTAGCACTCGGCCTTGTGGCTGCTGTAGAAGGTGGACATCAGGGCCTGCGGCTTTAGGGTCACCTGGCTCCTTGTCCTCAGGCCAGAGGATCAGGGAGGAGCCTGTCGGCAGGCTGAGAGGTAAAAGCCAGTCAGAAGGCTATCCTTCCTTCTAAAGTCCCCCAAGTCCCAGCCTATGTCTTCTGCTCAGTGTCACCCATATCCCAGGGAAAGGAAGAGGCCCCAGGCTAGACCTGGACATCCAGAAGAAAAAGTGGGTCAAAAAAAAAAAAAAAAAAAAGACTCTCTGGTGTCAGGTCCCTTTGTGGCCTGGAGTCTCCTAGTGAATAAGCTGAAGATGGCCCAGCCTCCCACCCAATTCACCCTGACACCTTCACACTAGGACCCAAGGCTTCTGATACCCACCTGCTCTGACAGCCAAATTTTGCCAGGTTCAGGGGGACCTTTGGGAGCTCAGGCATGTTGCCTACGGGCAGCCTCTTCTGCGGGTTGCTCTGAGCCACTCGTTCCAGCTCTCCTTCATGCCCCGAGTCTCTGGAAGCGTCATGGGGCCAGGGTCTCCCGAGCCCTGGCACAGGCACCTTCAGCAGCCCAGGAGCAGCCAGAGCCCCAGGAGGCCCCTTGAGGAGCACAGAGGACTTGGCCGGGGCAGCTCTGCTTGCTGCCTGTCCTAAGCTGTGCTCAAGCAACAGTGGGTAGTACAGGCGGGGAGCCAGGCCTGGACGCTCAGGTGCCTGTGGGGCTGGGAAGGCTGTCGGGGGCAGCAAGGGGCTTGCCGAGGCCAAGAAGGGCATGTGGGCTGCAGCCGCTGCCAGTGAGGGCCCCAGATAGGAGAAGAGGCCTGGGCCAAGAGGGTAGTTGACACCCAGCAATGACAGGTGGAGGCTCTGGGCTTCAGGGAACTCCCCCTGGGCAGGAGGTGGGTAGCAGGGGACAGTGCTCTCAGAGCCTGCCGAGGCTATGGCCCCTAGAGACCCACTCATCATACCACTACTCAGTCCCGGCTTCCATGACTCTGCCAAGAAGCCACTGCTGCCTGGACCCTTCTGGATGGCTCTAGAAAGAGGGGGCAGCAACCCTGGGGACTCCTCTGATCCAGGTTTGGGGCCCCTGACACAACGGTGCTGGGAAAGGCTGTCAGTGACAATGAGAGCTGGCTCAGTAGGCTTGCTGCCAGGGTCTGAGAAGTCTGTGGAACAGTTGGGGGTGGGCACCTGAGGCCTGGGCGATGGGGGCGCACGGCGGCATGCCCAGTCAGGGGAGTCTAGCAGTAGGGAGAGGGAGTCTTTGCAGAGGCTGTACTTCATGTGGTTGTAGAGGTGGGACTTCTCCAGGCAGGTGAAAGGACACTGGAAGCACTTGTAGTTATAGGGTTTGCCCCAGGGCCGTGGGATGTAGTGTGGCTTCTTGGGCTTCCGTGACCGTGCCCTTGTCCCAGCGCCCACTCGGCATGAGCCTGCCTCTCGAGACATGGCAGCCTGCTAGCAGGCCAGCCTGGGCACCATGGCCACCTGCAGACAGGAGAGACAAGGACCCAGTTAACACCAGGCTTTCTCACTCTCTGCTCCTTTTCACTAGGGGCCCTGCATCAGAACCCGTGAAGCCCCCCATTTGTGCCTTGCCTCAAGGTGTCTGACCTTTGTCCTGCACACCCTTCATTCTTTTGGGAGGGGTGTGGTGGCACTCGCCTTTAATCCCATCATTTGGGAAACTGAGGCAGGGGGATTCCTGTGAGTTCCAGGCCATTCAGAGCTACAGAGTGAGATTCTGTGAAAAAAAAAAAAAAAAAAAAAAGCGAGGAGGGGGAAAGGAAAAGAAAATGGAAGCACCTAGACGTTCTGATCCAGGTAGACATAAATAAAGATATAAGGATTGTCTAAGGAGGACCTGAAAATTGTTGCTAAATAAATACTCATAAGTTTATCAGAAATTAAATTTAACTGGGTGTCTTGTATTTTATTCAGCACAAATACCCACTGCTGGGGCCAAGCTGGCCCCGAAGGCCAATATCTGGGATAACTGGTCTCCATTTCGTTTCTGCTCTTTGCACCAGGCAGGTACCCACTGAGCATTTGGTAAGAGAATGAAAGCAGCCATGTGTGACCAGAGCCACCAATCTGATGGCCCTCTAGAGACATTTTCTTGGTTGAGCCACCTGCCCCTGCCAGAAACGGTAGCAAATCACCAAGATTCAAAACCAACAGAAACTTTGAGATCTCACTAACACAACGTGTGCAAATGTGTATGAGAGTGCATGGGTGCAGGCCAGAACCAGCTAGTGGAGTGTCAAGTGGGCACTGGAGGTCTCTCAGGGGGGTCAGCCACACATGAAGCAAACCCAGGCTGGGGGGAGTGGATGTCACAGCACGGCCCCATGGCACAGCCACCTGCTCAACCCAGCTCCATCTGGGTGGCTTCAGGCAGGTCAGTCACTGAGCTTGCAGTGACCGAGCTCAGCCAAGAAAGACCCTCTTCTCCTCACGTCCTGCACACTGGCTCAGAAGCTCCTCTTCACTCCATCTGGGCCACCACCTGGGCTGTCCACTGTCCCAGCACCTGCACTTGTGCGTGGCGCGTGTGCACACAGGCTTGGGGTATGTGCATACAAGCGTGCAAGATTCCCAAGGAATCTTTGCTCTATGCCTGGAGGGACAACTCCTGCATGGCTGAGCTAACCAGGCACAGGGAGTGCCACCAAGGGCACACACTTCCATACCACTTCCCCCCATAGCATGGATATGCCTGTTCAGAAGCGTGTCCCCACATTACAGACTACGCTGGAAAACACATGAAGACATGGCTGTGACTCACTCTTGGTCATAGACTCAGCGTAGATGCTGACACACATGTGCCTCGTGATTTGAACAGCAGGGATGGGAGTGGAGGGCAGCTGCTGAACTCAGCTCTCTTGCATGCTAGTCATTACATTTCGGCCTCGATAGACAGTCACCTTTATTTTCACCAAAGATCAGGCTGACACCCCTTAGGAAGGCAGCCAGAAGAGTGAAAAAGCACTGCACGCCAAAAGGCTTGGGACCATATAGGCTACAGGCTGGGCTCCAGAGATGGGGCAAACACAGGCTGAGGAAGACGCCAAGGTTGGGAGGTGGGTACTGGCTCAGGAAAGGGTCCCGCGGCCCCCTGAGGGGTTGCAGACCCAGCCTGGGCTTGGCATGTATAGAGGCAGAGTCTCTTCTGTCTGCATCTGCACCCCCCCCAACCCCCGACTCCCCGCAAAACGTGAAAACAGATAAGCATGTGTGCTCAGGCGACAGAGGCGTCAGTGCTGGGCCATCGATCACCCAGCCCTGGGAGCCACACAGCTGTGCTGAGCGGTGCTGCCGCTCAACCCACCTCCCAGCCCGGACTGGGGGTCCCCCCGGGACCTTGGACCCGGGGTTTGGGGCTCCTCCAGATCAGGAGCCCGAGGTGCTGACCTCTCCAAGACCCAGAGGATGCTGGGCACTGGCCCACCACCGTGCGCATCGCTACACGAGCCGCACACACACAAAGACGAACCCACCCTGCTGCCACCCAGCCCCAGCCCCAACTTAGGACCTGGCATGTGCCCTCGGACACCTTGGCTGCGCGCCTGGTTTGGAGAACTAATAGCTGAAAGGGCCAGCCCACCCATCCATTGACCCTCTTGGGACTCAGTACCCTATAGGGATGGGCACTGAAGCTGAGGTGGACAGCTGGAACCCTAACGCCTTGCCTCCCCGCTGTGGGCGCCGCCCTGATGAGCCCTCACCGTGCTGGGATCACCGCCCTGTCCAACGCATTTCGTCCGGAGCCTGAGCCCCAACTTCTCGGGAAGTGCCGCCCGCCCGCCCTCCCGCTCGCCTTACCGCGTCCACCGAACCGAGCCTGTGGCGTCTGCCAAATGTGCGTCAAGCCGCGCGGAGGGGCAAACTTCCCACTTGCGGACACTGCCGGGGTAACTGAGATCCAGAGCTGGAAGCGGTAGCGACTCCCTAGTGCCACCGCCGCCGCCTCCCACGTTCCCCGACGCCGACTCACAGGCGCCCACCAAAGTTGGCAGCGAAGCGCGTGCGCCTCGGCGCGAGCTCCCAAACCCAGCGACCTCCGACCAGGCTGTGCGCGGGAGGCGGGACGGTCTTAGCCACAGACGGCTCCCACCACCTAGCTCGCCGCCTTGCACACTCACCGGACGCGCTGGGAAGGCTCCTGGAGGGAGCGAGGCCGGACCCGCCACCGTGCCGCAAGAGCTTGGAGTGGCGCGCAGGTGCGGAGCCGAGTGAGGGGCGCCTGGCACCGTCCCCGCCCCCGACGCCTGCAGGCTGCCGCGGGGGTGCGCAGAGGCAGCCAAGTCTCCCGGGTCCCCGCAGCCGCAAGAGGGGGCGTCAGCACGCATCAGTCAGGGCTCTGGCCCCTGACAGCCGCCTGCCCACCCAAATCAGGGCCTGGGGGCTGAACCCTAGGACAGGATGCCTCCAGAGCGGACCAGGAGAGGCCAAAACCCAGAGCTCAGGTGGTAGAGCCTGGGTGTCCTTGCCAGCTTCCTCTGGGCAAGAGAGCCAGAGAGCCTGTGTGTTTCCTCTACTCCAAGCAGGAGGCGTCTCCTGCGCCCGAGCCCTACTCGCTGATGGTCACCATGCACGGACACCCCCACCCTGGATGCATCATGCCACTCCCAGCCCCCAGCCCTACTCTTCACTTCCTCGGAGGTTCCATCCCTGCTTCAGGACAGAGCCAGTGCCTGAGCCCACTCCCGGAAGGGCAACATTCATCCCCACTGCTGGCTTCTCCTGGAAGGATTGTGAGGTGTCAAAGGACCCAGCGGGGTTTGGAATGCCGAGCACAAGCACACTGTGAATGCTAGAACTTCCTTCCCTTTAGTGTCTTCATGGCCAGAACCGCTCCCAGGTTGTCAAAACTAACATCTGGGGTCACGCTTCCTAGCCAGGCCCCAGGGAATTTTGCCTAACTGGTGAGTTCCAGAGGTGCATGTGGGCATGGCATGGGCAGAGGCAGATAATCTCAATCTCTCTCTATCTGTGTGTGTGTGTGTGTGTGTGTGTGTGTATGTGTGTGTGTCTGTCTGTCTCTCTCTCTCTCTGTGATTGCTGCCCCAGGCCTGCCCTGTGGAGGCTCAGAGGTCAAGAGACTCTAATCCAGGGCAGTCACAGGCTCAGTTACTGGGTCCTGGGATCTTAGCAGGTCGGATCTTGCAGAAGAAACCTCCCTAGTGACTCTGGGTCACTACATGGGGCAGCCATAGGGTACAAGACACCATGGGTTCAGTACTGCCGGTCCCATGAAGCTGGACTTGGTTCCTATGTTTGTGTGGCAGACATAATGGCCAGGACCCAGCTGTTGGCCAGAGTCCAAGGGTTACTGGTTAAGGAGCAGGGCCTCTCCAATCTAGTTTCCTTCTGTCTCCATGCTACCTTCCTCGAAGGCAGCCCACCCCCAACCGAGGGACATCCAGAGCTAAAAGTGCTCCTATGGACTGGATAGCATGCTTCTTTCTGCCTGCCTGGCCCAGCTAACCAGCTGACCATGCAGGTGGCCTGGGGCCGAGAGACAGCTTGGATGGCCACCGTGCCAGTAGTCCTGGGGCCAGGAGTCCCGCTCCTTGTGGGTACTAACTAGAGAGGATGGCAGACTCGGGTCACTCTGAGACAAGGAGAGTGGGGACACTAAGCATGGGCCTTTTATTCTCAAGGACAGCTCTGCTCTCTCTAGCCATCCTCTTTCTGGATTAGTCAATGTCTGACAACCAGGGTAGGCTGGAGGCTGTGTTCCCTCTCCAGGGAAGGCCTGGTTTCAGCATCCAGGGAGTAAAGCCTGCTGTAGCTCAGGTGTAGCCTGTGGTCTGGGAGAAAGCTAGAGACACATTGGCATCTCGAGTCTGAGGATGATAGCCCTAGCAGTAATCACTGCCTAGGCCAGCTCTGTGTAGGCACGGAGAAGGGAGATGGATAGGACATGTTGTTGTCCAGAATGGGAAAAGCAGGAAGGAAGTGGGGGGGGGGCATATGCCGAGCAGTGCCAACCTTTAATAGGCGTTTTCAGAAATTTGGGTGAGAGAGGGAGAGACCACATCTAAAAAATGATACCAAGGGTATCTATCCTCTGGGCATCTTTCTGGGCTTCCTACAGGGGGAACTCCTGAACCCTGGGCCTGCTCATGGAGGTCTGGAGAGTTTAGTATGCCTGACAGCCCCGACCTTCTGCCCAAGGGGCTCTCAGGCACATCCAGCCTCTCATGATTGTCAGATCATGCCTCTTCTGGGACCTTCTAGCCACTTCTTTGGGAGTGAGGGACCATGAGCTCTGGAGGATGGTCCCACCTCCTGGCAGGTGGCTCAGATCCCATAGCTTTGTGTTGGGGCTTGTCACCCTGAGCCTGAGACCCTGTCCACACTTTCTAAGCAGCAGCTCTGTCCGCTCAAGAGTCAAGAGAGACCCTGTCTTAGCCTGCTCCTGGCTTGAACAGGGCCCTTCA